CCAATGTCCAAGGAATCTCCTCAACATGCAAATCCAAAATTTGTTTGTCGTTTCTCTTCTCTACAACCCAAGAAATTGTAGGAAAACCCTTACATTCTCCTAAAATCTAAAACTAAGAGGATGTACACATCTCTTTGGACACCAAATGTTCAAATAAACGTTCTTGGACTCGCAACCCATAAGTTGCATCTCCCTCCCTCTTTCCTACAAATCAAGATTGTAGGAGAGTATTTAAATCTGTCTTCATGCTCCCAAACTCAAATTGGAAGGATGAATCCCCTTCTTTGAACGCCAAATGTTCAAGGAAGATCTTCCACTTTGCAATCTCCAAGTTGCATTTCTCCCTTTATTCTCTACAAACCAAATTTGTAGAGAAATTCCTTTTCTTTCTACAACTCAAGAGTTGTATGAAAATTTCATTCATTCAACCCATGTTGAGTGAATTAGACACATGAAAGTCATTTATTTGTTGAATCAAAACCAACAAGTAATTCAACACAAAATCTTTTGTTTGTTGAACCAAATTCAACAAATAATCACATATCAAGCTAAGGAGAATTCTTCCAACACTTAGCCCAAAAGCTATGTGTTGGATTCTCTTTCTTTCCTTTCTTTAGCCTCAAAGCTAAAAGAATTCATTCTTCTCCTAACTCCAAAAGTTAGGAAAAGAATTCCTCCAACATTAAGCTCAAAAAGCTATATGTTGGACGTTTCTTCCTTAGACCCAAACTCTAGGAGGATCCTTAGTGTGACATACCACACAAGCCTCATACACTTAGTTGCACAACCCCTTAGGCATGCTAGGATTATGATTTTTCTTTGTGTGCGCATGTGATTGATGTTGTGAAGTGATTGACTTTTGGATTGTCTGCGTTGTGGACACTTGCCCTTAAGTGGTTAGTGTAGAAAGATATAAATATTTTTTTTGTGCAGGTGGCCATATCTAAAAGGGGGGGCGCTCATAAATAATAATAAACTGCTTGCATGACAGGTACTACTTAAAACCCCCCAAAGATGTGGCCAATATGGTAGAAGCAGGGGGCCTAGCACTTAGCACTCTAAGTGTTAGGCCAATTTTGGGATGATCATATTTCTGTTATATAAACTGCCGCCTGACTCTGTTCTGCAGATTTGAGTCTTTTTCTTTTTACACCATGTATTTGATTAGATCTAGGGTGTGAAACTTGTGGGGTTTGGATTAGCAAGCAAGAAGGATCAAGAGAGAAAGTATCCCTCAGAAGGTTGAAGCTTGAAGACCCCCACAATTAGAGTCTGTAAATTTGACTGGGTTGTATAATGGTAGGCAACTCAGCTGCCAAACATGTTTGTAATAACTTGGACATTATTTACATTTCTGTCTTAATTTATATATAAGCATGTGTTGAAGTGTTTACTGGGTGCGCATTAGAAAAGCATGTTTTTCCTAAGGTTTCTTCTCTTGTTTTTGTGGTGTGGCTGGATTTGATCAACGTAGGTCTCTTTAGGATAAATTAAGTTTTCTACCCTTTAACATGTAGCATCTAAAATATAAAATCAAATTTGGCCTCATGGTCTTATCAAGGTAAAAACAATGCAGTGGCATCCCTTCAAGTGAGTGCCAAGTTTTCAAAACGAAAATACAACATGCATAGCAAAAAAATGTGCACATATAGAATTGCCTTCACATAAGGATTAGATAACAAAAAAAATCATTATCTTTTCGTGTGTCAGCATTGCATACCATATAATATGGCTAGGCATCTTGGCTCAAAAGCCAAAGCTATAAGCCCTATCTTCTAAATATAAATAACCCTACCACTCTATCATTTGCATTAAGACCGCATATAAACATTGATTTTAAAAGCGATTTGGGGGAGTTTAGCTGGTAGTCCCTTCCAGCGGGACAATAATCCGAGAGTCGGACGGGTTATTGCCTCTTCGGAGTGGTGAGTTGTAAGTCCCTCTTTGCACCTCGTTAGATCTAGGTTCGAGGCACTAGCTAATCGGTAGTCCTGCAACTTAGTCTTAGGGTCAGGGCATGGGTTGATTCCAAATCTATCCTTAAGCTCTCATCATTCGGCCAATTCCTCCAAATTAGGTTGTTAATGTAAAGCCTAATGTAGGATAGTTTGGGCACCTCTGAGTTTCCTCTCAGAATCAAGTGCCCCTACTTCATCTCCTTTGGCTTTCATTCCCAAAATCTAATCCTTAGTTGATCAACTTCTCCTTGAAATTCCTAAAGGCCAAATCCTTTTGCTAAAACTTTCATGGATTTTAAAACAACAAAAAATCAATTTTAGCCAACATTTAAATGACTTCAAAATAAAGCAAAACCACTAGTTTAATCAAAAGTTTTCCTAAACCAAAGTTTGGGATGTAATTAACCATAGGGGCTTGCCCCTATGGGATGTCTGTACCCAGAAATAAATAAACCCCATTCGACCAAACATCGAGTGGGGGAATCTCTGTTATAATTGTAAATTTTATTATTGAGTCCATAAGGAAATGATATTTTTACCCTTCGGGGTGATATATTATGTTCTTATGTCGTAGTCGATGACAAAATATGCAATCCGTTTGAGGATGCAAAAATTCTCCAACACTAACCTCTTTCTTCTCTCCGCAAGTTCGACTCTATCTGTATCTTTCGTCTCAATCCAAGAAAAACAAGTTTAGGTGTTTGTTTTTATGTCAAAGTTTGCAAGTCTTTTATAATAGGAAAGTTGAATTTTAGTATGTAATTTGTCGTATTTTTTAGTATTTCCTATAATTTATTATTATCCTAGGAAGAGTTTCTTTTGCTTGCAAAAATTAGGAGCTTTTCCTAATTTTTGCTTGCATCAGACCTGTAGGCGGATCTTTCTCCCAGGGTAATACTAACTAGTAGTGCTTCCCTAGATGGCAAATTCCAGCCTTTTCTGCCACATGGCAAACTATGGTTTGGGTTGGAATGAATGGCAAGGTGTGGGGCTATGTGGGAGCTAAATCCTGCGGATTCTATTAATTATATTAAGTAGTTTTTCAATTAACTCAACTGAAATATTTTAGTTTTCCTGCTAACTGGGATGGGTTAATTTATTTTGTATTTTCACCTTTGTAATTCTACATGTATAGAGCCAAGTTTTGGCCAAGTTGATCAAGCAAGCATTTCACCACGTTGTACATCTCTTTTTCTAACACACATCATCAAGAAAAAAACTCGAAATACATCCGCATGCAAAAGATTGATTTTTAGCATTGTAGCAGGGAACCATTTTCATAAGAATGTCATCACATCATTTTTCATGTGCAGGAAAATAGAAGCCATAGATATCAATTATCAAATTCATTTAATAAATTAATAGTGTTAAAATTCCAACAGTCCCTTGGCTCTTGATCCCACGGCTACGATGGGGATCCGTGGGAGGCTCACCAGGATCACGCCGATCTCCTTCCATGTTCGGGTGGCTTAATTAGGAAGGATTATATTAGGGAAATAATGCATGATTTCGTATTTATCTGTTTCTTTATTAAGATATCTTGTATAGATCTACAAATAGGGATAGTTTTGTATAATAAAATTAAAGTCTTTCCCTCTCCAATTCTCTGAATTTAACATGGTATTAGAGTCTTCTGCCTTGGCTGGAAATCCAAGTTTTTTTTTTTATTGTAGAAGGCCCGACCTTATCTTTAGAAACGAAAGGGAGTGTATTCCGGCTTGTTCGTTCATGTAGATGTCCAACTAAGAGGGTGAGAGTGCTTCATCCCGCTGTCCCTTCGTTCAATCGAGAGACGAACGTCTAGTGCGTCTCGTCTGGAGGAGTCAAGCGAGAATCCCACAGTCTATGCGTTCAACCGAGAGAGATGAACGTCCTTGCTGAAATATTGAGGAATACAGGTTTCCACCACCAGCCTTCATTGGCGAAATTCTAAGGAATACAGGTTCCCACCACCGGCTTTTATTGTCGGAATTCTGAAGAATACAAGTTCCCACCACCAATCTTCATTACCAAAATTCTGAGGAATCCAAGATCCCACCACCAATCTTCATTGCTAGAATTCTGAGGAATATAAATTCCCACCACCCGCCTTCATTGTCGGAATTTTGAGAAATATTGGTCCTTCCACCGGCCTTCATTGTCGGAATTCTAAGGAATATTGATCCTTCTATTTCCTTCGTGCATCCAAGACCGGCGAGAGAAGTTAAGCGCATTACCTCCTCTTGCGTGCGTATGGAAAGAGCTGAGAGTTCCCTCTCGTGAGGGTCAAGGGCCGAGATAAGAAACTGTGCAAGGCATGCACTCCTTGCGATCAAACCATAGGGATCAGAGGTCTTGCGTGCGCCTGTACGGGGTTGATCAAACAGGAGTGTTCGGGTGGAGTCGAATAACTAATTTGCATTGGGATGAAGGCTAGCATGATCGGATGGGAGGAGTTTGTGTGCCATGTTCTGAGCCGCTTGAGACGTATTTTTCTACTGTTATCCTTGAAACTTGACGCAACCCTTAAAAATGATTTTTTTTTTTAGTGTTGTGCCTTCATTGACGACTTCCCTTATGATTGTTATCTTATCTATAACCAATGCAACCTTCATTGTTGTCCTGCTTAATATAGCCTTCATTGCTACCCTTTTCAACTGCAATATCTAAAACTAATTTCTCTCAAAGTTTTGACCAAATGGAGGACTCTATGGTGCACCAAGGGACTTTATAACTCTACTTTTCTAGGACTAATTATCAAGCTAGGAATGACAAATCTGTATACCCCAACTTGAGGGGGAGTGTTAAAATCCTAACCTCCCTTGGCCCTTGATGGGGATCCGTGGGAGGCGCACCTGGATCACACTGATCTCCTTCCATATTCGTGTGGCTGATTTAGGAAGGATTATATTAGGGCAATTATGCATGATTTCGTATTTATTTGTTTCTTTATTAAGACATCTTCTAAAGATCTATAAATAAGGATAGTTTTGTAAAATAAAATTAAAGCCTTTCCCTCTCCAATTCTCTGAATTTAACAAATAGACACAGGAAAAATCCAACCTGATGCCACCTTTGCAAATGTAGTGTATGAGCTTTCTTCAAATGGACTAAAAACCAATCTCGCAACCAAACCTCCTGAGATAGCAAAACAAGAAAACCATCTCATCAACAAACAAAATTTTCAACAAAAATATAGAAAATCTCACAAGGATGGAAAAAAGCACTAATGATACATACCTAATTTGTCCACTAGGCCATAGATAGCTTGATTGTAAGATGAATCAAACCAAAGAAGAACCATCTTTTCTCCTTCCTGAAGTAACAATTTCCATGATGCCTGACCAGTAAGTAAAAGGCACATGTAACGTAACTGTTTATCATATTCGAGGTTGTTCCATAACCTGAAAAGATGAGCATGTGAGCCGGAAAATTACAATTTATGCCTGCAATGTGGTACTATGCTTGTTTATGTTTATTTTTAATTTTAGCGATTGTGTTCAAGTAATAAATATGGATATTAAATAAGCAGACTATATGCACGTAAAAAGCTTACAAATGAATATAATGCGAGAAAATATCAGCAATTAGTTACCTAAAAGGGAAGAGATTCTTTTTTTCTCATTACCTAAAAGGGAAGAGAAAACTGCTGCTTATGATCCCAAAGGAAAGGAAATAAATCCAATATCCTAAAGCTAGGCAAGCACCATATGAAACCTGGGATACAGCAAATATGATCGCCATTTCCTGAAGAAAAATGACAAATATCACTAATAAACATAATTATGAGCTGTCCGTAGACATTAGTTGAACCATGAGGATCTTCCATGGCCAAATCAGAATCAGGATTGCTTTAGCATTCTGTGCCAAAAATGTTTCCTAAGAAAAAGACTAGGAATCATCTTATTAAAAAAAGATACAAGACAAGAAAACTGCACCGTCATGTATATAACAATCTTCTTGGTAAGATAAAAAATTTAACACGATTCTTCAGGAAAATGAACAATCAGTACATAACCATCACACTAAAAGCCTGCTAAAAGTCAACCACCCTATATAACATAAGTGCAATCAACAAAAAAATGTTGAACTTTATAAACTGTCCATTTTTTAAGTCTATGCAGACCTTTACTCATTTTAGTTTGTAAGGGGGGAAACATGGCTTCAAGTGAACGATTAGGTGAAGTAAGACTTTCAATAATTCATTTTCAAAAATTAGAATGATAAAATAAAGCATAGTGGAGAAAGCTTTAATCTTTGGATGCATCCACTAAAATTTCACTTTATGATAAGCATCCAAGCTTGCTGCTTAAAAGAAATTCAAGAATTTAGATGGTTACCATCCCTGTGCTTCGGAACATTAGAGTGCAGGTCATCATGCAACGAGCAATAGTTGCAACAGTTTCAACCATCAACCTTAATTTTAGAAGAAGCAGATTCTGTGAAAGTATATACAATGGTTCTCCCAATAACTCCAATATACAAGCAAATCCTGAGAGTTCGTTAAAACTAAGTAATCATTAGAATGCAGGTAGAAGTATTGTCAAAACTAAAGAGGATAAGGACACAAATGAAGGACTACTGAACAAAAGCATTTCCAATCAACTTCATGGAAGGCAAACCAACACCATTTAAAGATCAGTATAATTTCATGAACAATAACAAAGAGAAGCTGATTACATAATGAACAAGAAAATTTTGAAAGTACTTAGCATAAAAAAAGCAGCAATGCCTAATTTGATCAAACCAACTTGACTAAAAATCATTTTTCCTTACTGAAGATTGAAACCCCTAAAGAATCTCCACACACATAAAAAAGTACAGTCCGAGATGTTTAAGAGTGTCTTTATTTTATTTAAGATAAGGAGCATCATCGGTAAAAGAAGCTCCCAGTTTTTCCCTGGTGAGACTTTCTGAAGGTTCCCAAAAAGCTCTTACAATCTTTTTCCCAGTTAAGGATTAATTTTTTACGATCTTAAAACGATGGAAAGAGCAAAAGCTAGGAAAAAATTTCATGTAAATTTCTACAGGAAATAATCCTAACCAAACAATCTAAATAAACTTGCTAGCTTAAATTAACTTCATGCTGTAGCAGATAAGGCATGCATTTGATAGTATGCATACTACTGCACCTTGTCGTCCAAAATGAAATTACCATTTATCAGTATGGCCAATGCATTTGGATCAGAAATAGCATTCTGGAAAGAAAGCTTCTCAATCCAAAAGAAAAAGCTGCATAGAGCAGAAGTAAAGAGGATGCCCAGGGGAATAGTCAACCAAGCTATTTTCAGCAATCTTGCTGCATTTGCATCCATCATCCCATCACTGCAAGATAGAGTAGTAACTGTTTTGGTCAATTTACAGTCTATTAAAGTAAAAGAAATATTCTACAACAGGCATTTTTCATACAGGTAATAAACACACAAAAAAGTCATAGTAGCTCTTTTCGTGTAAAATAATTACTTATCCTGTGCTCAAACATTGAGAAAAGTTGGCCGTACGGTAAGGGGCATGACAGGAATATTATTTTGCCGGTTTTCTCCCAAAAACAAAGTGCAACAAGTCAAGAGTAAGGTTGCAAAAGCAAAAATATTATAAAGACAACTTTCCAAAATATGAAATGGAAATCAAAAGTATAAATGATTTCATTTTCAGGTGCTTGGGGAAGCTGTTGGGGCATGTGTTCAAGTGAAGGTGTATTTGCAGCAGACACATGCAATGCTCCACTGCTGAGTGTGAGTGATTATAATAATCAAAGTACATGCATTGGTGGCAAGTTCCTGATGGCCTAGAGGCTTCATATGTAATGGGCCCTGGTTCAACACTCTTTATGGTCACGATAACAGCTAATAGGTCAGGTCTATCACAGCACGCTTTTGTTTGAACAATTATACCAACACATGAATTGGTTTGGCAGTAAGGCATCACCATTGAATATCTATCCGCATACAAGCACGGCGAAACCCCTCCCGACTTAGAAACAAGATACATGTAGTTAAGAGATGAAACTTCACTGCATAAAGCTGCAAAATTAAGATTCAGAAAAAAGTAAGTAAACCTGAGAAACAAATTCAGGTTAATTAAAACAATAGATGTCAAGTGAAATATCAAGATATTGACAAAAGTATGAAAAAATCAGTAATGCAAAAAAGAGAGGGAAAGGAAATAATTATTAGTTTGCAAAAACAGAATATTTTGGAAGCATGAACGCATAAAAGGTCAGGAAATCGAATACTGCAAGAGTCACTAAAGTGTGAATAACATGACAAAAGAATATAGGATTGAGTAATAAAGCATGAGTAAATATTTTGTTATAAAAATAATTCATATCAGGAGATTTTTTGTACAAGCTGAAGAAATTGGAAAATCAGAAAACTTTATTGGATGTTACCAAAGTCGGAAGAAGAGCTAGAAAGCCAGCCAACAACTCTCAGTTTAACCCTACCCAAAGTTGTATGGTAAATATGACAAATTAATCACTTTTTCTTTTACAGTAGGAAACAAACATTTCAAGAGGCCAAACTTAAACTAGAAATTCCAATAGTTCATAATTAATCAGTTGCAGTATGATTCTCAATCCCTCATAGTACATAGACAACTCTCAGAAAATGAGTCAATTTGTCGGTAAATCTGAATGTAGAGTTTGATTACATGCAATGGTATATGCAGCAGAGATGGAAATAGAATTAAATTGAAGTAGATGCCAAGTTGAATGCACTCCAATGGGTTAATAGCTTGAAGCGATGAATTACATGAAGCTTTGGGTAATCCTATTAAATTGAGTTATGGTTGAAGCTGAATGCATTCTTATTTTATCAATAAAACTGGAATAGTGAATTATTAGAAAAATAAGCTTATCAACCAATTCAGCACCATTTAGTGTTTAGCAACATTAGTGGGGATAACTTACTTACTAGACTAAAAATATTTAATTTGAATAAAATGAATGAAACCTGGCAATGCCTCACATGAAATGTTCACTAGAATATTGGAATCACAATTAACCTTTTGATGGGATCAAAGATACTAGCCCTCTTTTCACACACATTTAATGAAGATTTTGTTATCATCTTGGTAAGAAAATAACAAACCCACACAATTATGAAAACTTGTATTAAGGAATCAGCATTGTATTACCGCATAGTCAGCTTCAGTTAGGTGCCGCACAATCCAAGTATTGAAGATAAATGGAATTAATCTTGACAAAAACTGGGTTGCTGCCAAACCAAATAAGGAAATAAAAGATGGTGAACAAAAGTACTTGCATGCAGAAAAATGAAGATCAACGAAAACTAAGTAAAAGAAAAACATGATTGAAGGCATACAAAACAAGTTGGTAAATTACCCATGAGGTATTTGAATGTTTGACCAAAACTATTGTTAGCAGCACTTCCCCCATCCACCCAAGATCCATCTTTTTCACTTGCCATCTCAGATAAGTAACTAATATACCAACAGCATGTGGAATGTCTCTGAAGCACCCGACAAACTCAACAGCGTTTTCTGCAGGTGAACTTTAAACTGGAGAAAATTAACAAATCCAAGAGCATTCATACTAAAGAAAACATAAATTTAATCATGAGCTTATCAAATAGTAGATTGTCTAATTTAGAAAATGAGACTTTAATTGAACAAACATATAAATAAATAACTAAAACAAGCATTCAAATAAGCATAGATAAGTAGCTTGTGTTCATGAATGTACAAAAATTTAGTAAGAAAAAACAAGAATCCCACAATTTACCCAAATCTTCAAATCACAATAAAAAATATTATGAATATTAACTTTTCTAAAGTGAAATACACATATTCATTCATATGTTTCGATGTGATCAGGACACTTTATATAAATAAATAAATAAAATATAGGTATGTAAATATATATAAATTGTGTGGCATGTATGTAAATATCCCTTCTTTTTAGTGTATATATATATATATATATATATATATATATATATATATATATACAATGGCAGATTTACACTGGGGGCATGTGCACCAACTGATTTTTTACTTAATGTCTTATTAAATATATTTATTACTATCTAATTATGAATTTAGGATTTTTGGCTCTAAAATTACGCTAGCTGCGAAGGGAAACCAAAAGGGCGAAACTTAAAAAGTTCAAAATATTTCTCTCTTGCGACCAGACGGCGAAAGATCAGGCGGATCGCGTTGGCCTGCATGCTCGGCGGTAAGAATCTGTCACTCTCTCTTCATCTCTCTCTCTCTCAGATTGGACAAAATTCGAAGCCGCTGCTGCTCCCTAGTCATTTGTATTTGCTGACCTTTTTAGATTTTTTTTCTTCTGCTCCCTAGTCATTTGTATTTGCTGACCTTTTTAGATTTTTTTTCTTTGCCATTGAGTGATTGAAGCAGTTTAGCTGTTTCGATACAAAAATTATTGGCTTTTTATGGTTGGAAGCTGATTTATGTTGCTATTTTATTTCTTTCACTCCATTTTGATTTAGTGCCTTAGAAAGTATCGACATTTTTACCTTATTTTCGGAAGTTAGATCTACCTGTATATTATTGCTTAGACTTATTTATTCAGATGCATGTTTTTCTTTTATCTACTCCTGTTTTATCCATAGAGATCTAAAATTGGCCTGAGAACTGGGCGGAGAGCTGAATACACCAGACTAGATGAAGAAACATATCAGCAATTGATTATTTTATTTTATTTTTCCTTTCCAGCCAATTTGTGCCATTACAAGTGTGGGTGGATCCAACAGAAACCCAAGCATGCAAAAGGGATTTTCTTTTTGAACACTCTTATACCTTTCTAAGCTCCAGTTTGGAATAGTAATATTTTGATTTGTGTTTGAGTATAGATATGACTGAATCATCAGTAATATCAAATAATAATCATATATGAAGAATGATAAGCTGCCTGTGAACTCTTAAATTGAGAACACTGTGCTTGCTGGCATTACAATTAAAATCTGTGTAGTTTGTCTGTATGTGGGCTGATTCTTTGTTATGGCTTTGCAGATTGAGGAGATATTGAAATTTGAAGAGATATCTGTGGATACAAAATTGTGAGTATTCTACTAATCTGTAAGAATTGACAGGTATATATTTTAGTTATTAATCAATTTACTAGCATTAAATTTTTTTTATGTAAGTATAAATTTTTTAAACTAGTTGTTATTAAAATTAGATATGGAAAAGTATTTCAAAAGAAAATTGGAAGGAGATGATCATAAACTTTTTTCTGAGGAATAAAACACTCAAATTCAATCAGTTTTTGCAAAAACAAATTTAGCTAATATCACTGCCGATCCTGCATTGAGAAAAATAATTATGGATTTTCATTCTAATGAGAGGGATAGTGTGCGGAGACATTACTTGCTGAAAGGACCATGTCAACCACGTGATCATGAATTCCCACGTACAAAATTTGGGGATAAATTACATAGATTTAATCCTGCATGGTTCGATGAACACAAGACTTGGTTAGAATATAGTACAAGCAAAGATGGAGCATTTTGTTTGTTTTGTTATCTGTATAGATCTCAAAATGGTAGAAGCTGCAGCAATTGAGATTTCGAATGTCATAATCAATGAACTAAGAAATAAGGTATTTGTTATTCTACTTGATGAATCTCGTGATGTATCAATTAAAGAACAAGTTGTTGTTGCATTATGTTATGTTGATACACACGGATGTATTATTGAGCGTTTTATTGGGATCGTTCATGTTGGGGACACTTCAGCTCTAACACCAAAGTTAGCTATTGAATCACTTTTTTCAAAATATGGGTTGAATGTGGCACAACTATGAGGTCAAGGTTAGATGGAGCAAGTAACATGCGAGGTGAGTTTAATGGAGAAGAATAACATAAATATTCCAGGCATAACTGATACATTTGTGCTGCGAGGAGGATCAAGACGTCGTACTGAAAGTATAACAAACAGACATCATTATCAAATCGAATTATTTTACATTGTTATAGATATGCAACTTCAAGAGCTCAAAAATAGATTTGATGAAATTAATACAGAATTACTTATGCGTGTGGCATGTTTGAATTCGTGTCAAACATTTTTAGTTTTTGATAAAGAACGATTGCTATGTTTACAAAATTTTATCCATCAGATTTTTTATAAATGGATCTCATTATAATACACAATTAAATTGAGAATTTCATTGTTGATATGAAATCAAATGATGCATTTATGAGTTTAAAAAGACTTGGAGAACTTGCTCAAAAAATGGTGAAAACTAGGAAGAATGACATTTATCCTTTGGTGTTCTTACTTATAAAGTTTGCTTTGATATTTACAATTGCTACAGTAACAGTTGAACAAGCATTTTCTGCAATTAATATTATAAAGAATCGTTTACGCAATCGTATGGGGGGCTCTTGGATGAATGATTGTATACTTATATTGAAAATGATATATTTAATAGTATTGAAAACAACTTGAGTGTACGACGATTTCAAAAAATAAAAACTCGATGGGAGAAATTATAGATGATAGTTAAGAAGAATCTCAAGATTTATTGTTCTCAATTGTAAGCTTTTTTTTTAACATATGTTTTATCTTTTTTATAATGAATCAAATGATTTAAAAAAAAATTTAAAACCGCCCATGTCGGTCCCAAGCCTGGATGAAAAAGGTTGAGAGTTTTTTTATTTCAATGATTTGTGCCCCCACTTGAAAAAAATCCTGGCTCCGCCCCTATATATATATATATATATATAATCAAATATGACTATCTGAAATGTAAATCAATATTTAATATTTTTTCTTAAAAAGAAGAGGTGATTTCTATCATTCAGAAGAAATACTTGAAGTTCATTCTAACATGATCAAACGCAATCTAAAATTATGGCAGAGTATCATCCCGAAAATACATTGTGTAACACTTGCTGTTTGGTATGCGGATTTAGGTGGATTTAAGGCCGGATTTGGGCGAAATCCAGCCAAACGGCCTAAAATGCAAATCCAAATCTCACGGCAAACGAAATCCTCCGTGGACGGAAAATTCCGCCGATTCGATCTAAATCCCGGATTTCCGAAATGCTTTGGTTCGGCGGATTTACGGGATTTGGCCGAAGAAGCGCGCGAAAGGGAGAAAGTTACCTTCACAGCAAGCGAGCTCCCGTTGTTGCTTCAGATAAAAAAATTGTCGTAACTTCCGATCCAATAGGAAGGTAAGGAAGGTAATGTAGTCGAAGGAGCAAAGTCGAACAGCGATGAAGAACTCTGGAAAATTTTAGGTGGGAAGGAACAAAGCCGAACGAAATATAGAAGGTAAACAGTAAAACCTAGACGCTTCTAATTGTTGAATAATTTAATTAATATAATTTAAAATATTAATAATTAAGTGAAATTAATTAAATAATATTTAAATAATTGATAAAATTATTAGTTAAATACTTAGTTATTTCAAAATAATTAATAGGATTAAATATGATCTAAAATAAAAAAATTTATTATAAAATATTATAAATAATAATTAAATAATTAATTAGTATTAATAAAATTTTGTTATATTTTATTTAAACTTTTTTTGTCGTGCTTAGATTAAGTATGAATAAAGTATGTCATTTTTAACCGTCTTAATCTAAGATGAACAGCAACAGTCCAGGGATTATAACTGGGATTTATCATGCATGTTCCGTAGTGAAGTAGCGTTTCAGGGATTTACTCTTAATTAGGAAATTCGGTAACTCCGGGTTGAGGATTTACGAGATTATCAAATGATATTTGGAGTGCAGAGTTAATGAAGAATAGAAGGAGTAGATATTATAAAAAATCTAAAAATTTTTCCCTTAAAATAAATAATTAAAAATTAAATTCTGTAAAAACAATTTTAATTTTTCATTTTAAAAAAATCCCCTACTGTAAATTGAATCGCCTATCTACCAAAAGCCCAGTTGGGAAGGGTAGCCGCGTTTCTTGCAAAGGCATCGATGGAAAAAACGAAAATCGGTTTCGGCTATAGATTGCTACAAGCAAAATGCCTCGTGCACATCAGCGGCGTTAATATGTAAATATTTTTAAAGAAATTGCATGTTTTCGGTAATGTTTTATTTAGAGGTATTTACATACATACCATTTTAATTATATTATTATATTTAATATACTCAAAAGTTAAATATTATAATGATATCATCCAAAAAATTTAATCACAAAAACACTCTTTCCTTCACTACCCTTCGCTCCGTATTTCTTCTCGATGAGTCTATCTTTCCAATGGCACAGATTCTCCGATCTTCTGCGAAGGCTTGTTCTCGACGCAGAGCTTCCTCTAAAAAGATGCTCTATAACTTTCTCTCACGCATCCGACTGCTCGCATCCAAATTTCACTCAGCATGATCATGATCACTACTTTTACGCGAGCAATTAATCTTTGATATTGATTTCTCGACACTATTCCTTGCGATTATTAGTGCATGAATAACTTGGAACTATATATATAATTTAACCGCATACTGTTCTCTTGTTCTTTGCATTGATTTGAGTTGTAAGATTTATTTACTGCTAGGGCTTTTAGCTCATTAAATGAATTACATGTTTTCAGTAAAGGATAAAGATCATGCGATGCGAGACTCCGGACAACATGTTTTTTTTTTTTCACGGAAATTATAGTTGATTTCTTGTAGTCATGATGTATTTAAAGTGATGCAGCTAGTCTTTTGTATCATGATTATATATATATTTACTTATTTATTTATTTATTTTTTGGTTAAAACCCACAGAAGGACCTATATGTTAATTTCAAAAAAAAAAAAATGATTACAAGGTCCTTAAGAAGTCGTCTCAAAGGAAGCCTTAAACAGCTCTAATTCATATATTTTTATTTGCATAACCAAATGAAGCTCCAATATAAAACTTATTTTGAAAAATAAATAGTAAATGAATAAAATATCAATACACATTGCCAAGCAAAGTAATCTGTAATTAGCTTCTGCCAGCACCAAAGGGTTTTAACTTAACCGCTGTATTATCCATTAAGTCATAGTTAATATTTGCTTAAAACAAAATTATAAAGTTTGACAGAACAAACTTCTCACAAGCTTTTGAAAATATTTAATCAAAATAGAGTTTTATATCCTTAAAATCGTTTTGGAGAATCCATACACTTAATATTAAAGAAAATTGTAAGAGTTTTATTTTGGGACAATTTCTTTATTGCTTTCGAAAATAGTCTTTTAGTACAAAATTTTTTAATTCAAGAAATTTTTGTACTAAAAAATTGTTTTAAAAAACAACAAAAAAGCTACCGCAAACAAAGCCTTAGTTTTGATTACTAATGCCGGCTAATTTAATATGTGTATTTTCATCATTTAAAATTTTTATCTTTAAAAAAAGTTTCGAAGCATAAAAAACTGTGTGATAAAATTCTGAGTACAGTAACAACGCTTCCTGTCAATTCAACCAAAATCAATTCAAATGTCTAAGACTTGACAAAACAGAATGATGTATTCTTAGACTAACCCCTTCCATTAAGTATGAAGCCATGTGCCCTATATGGCTTTTACTTGTAGAAATCAAAGTCTGTGTCAGGTTTCTTCACATTAGTTCGGTAGCCTTTCTCGAAGTCTTTGGGAAGGATGACATAACGATTTTTGCGGACTGCATGCATCCCAGCTTCCTGGCAAATAGCTGCGATCTGCCAAAATGATTGAGCAGCAGGTATACTGGCTTAAAAAAAAACACACCCACCGTAGACAAATTATTGAAATGAATGCAAAAACAACTAACCTCAGCTGCACTAATCTTATCAGGTCTAGAAACATAGTCTTCCAAATCAACCTCATCACTAAGATTCATTTTAGCAGTACAGACCTGGAAAAAGAAGCAGCAGATGCAATTGATAAGCAGCAATTTCTTGTGGCAAGAAAACATCTACAAAGTCAATTAACAATATAGATTTAATACTTTTTTAACTATTTTATTACATCATTTCTTTTTGGATGCAATCAGAAGGTAACATGAATAAAAATTGTGCAAAATAGATTTAGCACCTCTTGCAATAATAAAAAAGAACAAATAAAGAATGATGGATTATAAAGCCAATCCCAAATAGTTGGGATAAGAATAATGATGATTTTATATGGTTCATAATATTACAAAATAGAATAACAACAGAGGAAGCAAAACAAGAAATGGATACCGCCATAGAAAGTTTAATGCGTGCCTACATTTCAAAAATTACAACAGCAACTTGAAAGGTGTCGATTGTAGAAGCAGCAAATAGAGCAATGAGTTATATATAGTTCACAGAGACAAAGCCCAGCAATCTTATTTGCTAAAGAAAAAATTTTGGCACTTCCTAACGTCCATATGCGAATACATTAATTAGATCGAAGGTGTAAATAACCTACGGGATCTGCTTCACTAACAGAATACAGCACCGGAAAGATGGTTGCATGGCTTACCTGAAAAACAAGCCTTTTCTGCCGCCTATCAGGTAGAGGGAACTCAATTTTCCGATCAAGTCTACCAGGACGTATAAGGGCAGGATCCAAAGTGTCAGCACGGTTAGTTGCCATTATGACTTTAACATTAACTGTTTGGTCAAAACCATCCATCTGCAAAAAACAATAATAATTTCAACCAAAAAAGCAATCAATATTATACTAATACAAGTCATGTGCCGCCAATAATTGTTTATGGCTCAAGCTCAAGCAGAGTGATCAATTTCAAAACTGACAAAAGAAATCCCAAGAAATCATGTGACCCCCGTCTCCAAAACATTCTCATGACATGAAAATTTATGAATCTTCACAGAAAAGAAAGGGTTTGCAGAAAGAACATATTCTGAATGCTTCCAATTTAGCTGTTGTAAAAAAATGAGTGCTATTTCAATATAAGTTAAGATTGTAAGTAAATAAAAAATCCAGGAAGTGCATAACAGCTGAACGAAAAATTGAGGATAAAAAAACAGATTCTCCGCACTTAGCAAAGATAACTCCAACTATGAAAAACAGATAGGAACCAAACGTTAACTAATGAGTTAGAACCAGGGATTTTCTAATGCTATTATATGATGAAATGCATGAAATCACATACATGAGATCAAATTTTGAATTTCACAAACCGTCAACTAAAACAAATACTCAGCCCATTTAATGAAAAAAAAAACACACAAATCGTCCAACTAATATATTAATGATTGTCCAAATAAATTTTTTGCAAGAAGTTTGGGATCTTAAAAAGCCTCAATCTCAATCAAGACATGCACCACCACATTCATGAATCCAAATTATACCAAATTTGATCAATTCAATCACACACAAACCCATCACAAAATACGTAGATGAATTGGTAATGAGGAAAGAATTCAAATAAGAAATCCGAACCTCATATGATCATATCGATACAAATAGATGGAATCACTTAAATTTTGTCAAATGGCACATGCTCTGCATTCAAAAAATTCTCTTCCAACCACCACACATGATTGAGAGAAATAAAGAACTCTCATCCAATACTTGTTAGTTAATTCTTGAGTATCCCCTTTTAAAATTGTTAAAATCCCAACCATCCCTTGGCCCTTGATCCCACAGCCAGCATGTGGATACGTGGGAGGCTCACTTGGAACACGCTGTTAAATCTCAGTTGTCCCTTGGCACTTGATCCGACAGTTGGGATGGAGATTCATGGGAGGCTCACCTGGATCACGCCAATCTCCTTCCATATTTAGGTGACTGACTTAGGAAGGATTATATTATGGCAATTATGCATGATTCTGTACTTATTTGTTTCATTATTAAGATATCTTGTATAGACCTATAAATAGGGATAGTTTTGTATAATAAAATTAAGCATTTTCCCTCTCCAATTCTCTGAATTTAACATGATATCAAAGCAAGGCATTAGGTTTTCTTAAAAAATGCAAGTGTGAGAGAGGGAGAGTTGGTTCTTGCGCTCTATTCCTGCTTGTGTGCGTCTAGGGCAGCCGAGCAAACAAGAGAGCTTCCCCTTTGTGGTCATCTGTGTGCGGCTCTCGTGCATGCCTACCTGGGGGCCAAACCGAGTGAAGAAGAGGAAGGAGTGAGCAGGATCTGCATGTGTGCGTGCTTGACCGATACGACAGACCCTCGTGCATGTGTAGGAGCCGAACCGAACAAGGAACAAGCGATTGTAGAGTTGTTGTACACGCCATCAAATCCTCCACTTGAAAAGTCCCAACTTGCCCCAAATCCCATTTGCTTACGCATGTTCTCGATTTGCTACCCTCAGATCTGGGAGATGTACAAGAAGGTTGAAGCCTCCTTCTAAATAGTAGAAGAAGTCAACCTCTCCAAAGATCTTCGCCATTATGATAAATCACTCAAATCAAACGAATGCCACTTCGTAACCCACGTTCTTGCCTTCTTCATTGTCGCTAACACAATCATCATTGAGAACCTTGCCGGTAAGATTTGGACTAAAGTCGGTTCGCTGGATTTAAAGCTCGCCAATGGAACGGCTTTGATAAGTGGAGTTGACTAGACGATGCATATGGTTGGGGAAAAAGATGGCTTTCTTGGTGGTAAGACAATTCACTGCTACGGTCTCGTGCATGCTTACGGTGAATAAGGAGTTGGTGAGTACGTAGATGGTGAAGTATGCTACTTCCCTAAGTAGGGAGTCGTTTGTGGATATCGAGGTTGATGCACATAAAGATTAGAAGCACTTTATCCTACACTGAAGGAGCTGGCGCTTGCCAGTTCTCTAGGTTCCCACTACCCTCCTTCATTATCGGAAATCTGAGGAATATAAGTTCCTACCACAAGCCTTCATTATTGGAATTCTGAGGAACACGGGTTCCCACCAATGGCCTTCATTGCCAAAAAATTTAGGAATACAGGTTCCAAGCACCAACCTTCATTGCTGGAATTCTGAGGAACACATATTCCCACCACTGGCCGTCATTGCTAGAATTATGAGGAATGTTGGTCATTCCATTTACCTTCATTGTCAGAATTCTAAGGAATATTGGTCATTCTTCTTCCTTCGTGCGTTCAAGACTGAGAGATCGAGTGAGAGGGCTCCTCTCGCATGTAATGTCCAGAGTTGACCGAGAAGAAGCGAGATAAGTCGAGGACAGAACCTCCTCTTGCGTGCGTATGGAAAGAGCTGAGAGTTCCCTCTCGTGAGGGTATAGGGTCGGGACAAGCAAGAGTGCAAGACCTGCACTCCTTCATGCAATCAAACCAAAGGGATCAGAGACCTTGTGAGCGCCAGTACGGGGTCAATCAAACATGAGTGCTCAGGAGGAGTCGAACGACTGATTTGCATTGGGCTAAAGGCTAGCTCGATCGAACAGGAGGAGATTTCCGTGCCAAGTGCTAAGTCGCTTGAGACTTGTTTTTCTGCTGCTAACCATAAAGCTTGGCACAACCTTTAAAATATTTTTTCCTGCTGTCGTGCCTTCATTGTCGGCTTTCCCTTGTGGTTGTTATGATATCTATAACCAATGCAGCCTTCATTTCTGCCATGCTTAATATAGCCTTCATTGCTACCCTTTGCCACCACAATATCTGAAGCTAATTTCTCCATAAGTTTTGACCAAACGGAGGACTCTATAGTGCATCAAGGGACGTGATAACTCTACTTTTCTGGGACTAATTACCAAGCTAGGAATGACAGATATGTATTCATTAGCTTGAGGGGGAGTGTTAAAATCCCAACCGTCCCTTGGCCCTTGACCCCACGACCAGCATGGGGATCCGTGGGAGGCTCACTTGGATCACACTGTTAAATCTCAGCCATCCCTTGGCCCTTGATCCCACATCCAGGATGGGGATCAGTGGTAGGCTCACCTGGATCATGTCATTCTCCTTCCATATTTGGGTGGCTAATTTAAGAAGGATTATATTATGACAATTATGCATGATTCCATATTTATTTGTTTCTTTATTAAGATATCTTGTATAGATCTATACACAGGGATAATTTTGTGTAATAAAATTAAGCATTTTCCCTCTCCAATTATATGAATTTAACAAAAATAACAAAAAATCTCAAAGTGATGAACTCCAAAATTAAAAGAAAATGCCAAAATCCTTATATTACTAAAACACATCCTAGAAGTTAAAAAAAAATTAAATTCTCAAGATCAAAAAGTCATCAGGGGCAACACGATATTTGGCAGATACCAAAACAGCAAAAGGTGCAAGTTCCATCAAGAATAAACCGAACGGTAAAGAGGTGAAGGAACATTGAATCGGTGACTAAAGGAAATAAAACCAAGAACAACTAGAGGAAGTTAAACAGAGAACCAACACTAAACTGATTGCTAAATTAGAAAACTTAAAAGTGAACCAAAAAACCAAAAAAAGCAACAAAACAATTAGTGGACCCAACCAAAGCAGCACATACATTAAGAATATAACCCATTCTCTATGCGGATCATGATTGTAGGCAGATTAATTTAACAAGTTAAAAAAGAAATCAGAAACTATGAAAAATAAACTGACAAAATAAATACAAAGTTTAGAATGTCAATTTGCTCGTCTCAAAACTTATATCTAGTGCTTTTGAAGAATATAAACTTTTGATATTTGCATCAACTCGGGCAGACTTTAAAAAAAAAAAAAAGATTGGCTAACAGAAATTGAGCATATTTAATATTCATCACACAACTATGCTTTTAACAATTAGGCTCATTGCAAGGAAATTTATAAATTATCATAAGTAGTTCTATCATTTAAATGCACAAGTTAGTTCAAATGTTCACCATTAATAGCAAACAAAATTTCATAATTTAAGATTTCCTCTGGAACAAGATATAGAAAATCATTTGATACTACGGTCTTGGATGCAAATTTATAAAGAGGCGATAGAAGAATCCAGGGCATTGATGATTTATTCATGAATAAAGAAAATTTCAAAACATTGAAGATCAGACTATTGAGAGCTATTCCAAATTTTTAATTCATAAGCACTCATCCCAATATATTGCATGATTTTATATGGCCCTCATACCAATTAATTTCTTAAGGGCACATGTAGAGAATCTTTTAGAATTTTGACGAATCATTACTTTATCACATGGTTTAAATGGTGTATACCTTAGTTTCATGTGAAGAACAGACTTAAAAATTTTGTAATTAACAGCAATCATTTTTTTATAGCTTTCAGAATTTAGATGTACCATTCGTCCATTACTTAATCATGTAGTTTAAATTTCATGTAACTATTGCTCACATCAACATTAGAGTTATAATTGTCATAGCTTACAATCAATTTTATATAAATATCTTCATGCAAAGCATGCATATGTTGTGCAAATTCATCAGGCCTATACCTAAAAAAAACGCTACGAGACCTATAAATTTATAGGTTGAAACCCTATAACAATCTCAAATGGATTCATACTTGTAAACATATTGACAGATGAATTGTAATGCAAATTCAGCCATAAATAACATCAAATCTCAACCTGGTGCATGCTTTTAACTTTTTAATCAAACATCACAATAGATCACCCAAGCTCCTATTAAATTTCTTTTTTTGTCCATCCATTTGTGGATAGTAAGCAGTTGTTGATTTTAAGTGAAACCAATCTTTCCAAAAAGTTTTTGAAAAGTAACTCTTGAAT